GGGTAGTATTGGGTCATAGTCACGGCAATTCGGTGATGTTTTCGGCACCAAATCGCATATTTCCCGATAAAATATGGCAGATGGAAGTAAATAACGTCTACAAAGGTGATATTTCACAGTAATAAAGAAGTATTTGGTTCATAACTGGATCGTATGGGGTAGTATTTGGTAGTATTGGGTGGTTTTGGGTAGTATTGGGTGGTATTGGGTGGTATTGGGTAATTAGACGCGCCCCTCAAATGGGTAATTGTTACCCAAATATAGGATTATTACCCATACGGGCCGTTGTGCCCAACCTGTTACGCATGTACATAGTCTGTGTCATTTGACTGCTGTTAATGCAGGTATATGTGCAGAGGTAAAGTTTAAGGGTGGTGGGCAGGGGGTTGGATATTAACTGAAATGGGTTTTAATACCGAAATCAAATATATTACTGAGTGATAGTTCGAAAAACCAGTCAACTATACAGTCTTAATAATTATTGTCCAACCAACTCGAATAACATCTATATTAAAATTGATATGGGAATGGCATACTTTCCATACAGGAAAAGTAAGGGTTGGAAGCCGCTAAACATATATATAATAATATATATAGTTATCAATCATGTTTGATTACAAAAAATAACCTTGTCAGAATTTGGGTCCTGATCTGCAAAATGTTCCTCTAACCGCTTAAGTTCATCTTCTCTACTAGTGTCGATTTCTTCAATTGTTGCATTTATCCCATCTTTATTTTTCTTAGAAGTCGAAATCCATAAGGAAGGTTGAACAAGCCGTCTACTCTGGCGAGAAACAGCAAGTAAATTCCTAGCTCTCACGGCTGTCCTAAGGAAGGTCGCCATTTTCAAATGGCCTTCACATCAGAATCAATGTTGCCGTGAACACTCGTCGGTCAAACGTTTCTCAAGTCTACTGACAAACATTCGATGGATCCCGATGTTTTTATTTTCCCAGTGTGCAACAGTCTAAATGGCGGTAAATGTAAAAGAAAATAACCTACTTCTTGGACACAACGTACAATAACTCGATGTGCTGTACTAGACAATGCATACACAACGCATTTGCATCTTTTTACTGCCATAAGCTAGTTAGATATTTTGTTAAGTTGATGAATATGACCCATGAAGTACAGTAACTTATCTATGCATGTTATCAATTATGTTTACATTACAACGACTCTCAGTACCCGGTAGCATGACTGTATCGTTCGTGGTTTTCAGATTGTACTACTATATGGACTATGTACGGAATGAAATATAGATGACTTATTATAAAACATGTAAATGATGTTTATTCTGTTTAATGGCTTTAATCATCTTGCTTTCCTGTACAAAAGGGAGACAATTCTCTATAAATATAATGAAAACTCCAGTCGGTTAGACTAAATGCCAAAAACCGTGAGAAATTCTAAAGAACTAGTCACATATCACGGAAGGTCACTAATCGTTTTATCTCGGATAACATGGAAAGACAACCAGCTTCCAAACGTAGGAAAACTGAAGATGGTTACCAAGGGGAGATAACTGAGGAAGATGAGTGGGATGATGATGATTTTGACCTACAGCTAACTCAAGCAGAGCTAGAGCACATGGACACAATAGCATCACAGGCTATAACACAGCCGACAGGCATCAGTAATCAGGCCATGCAAGTTAAAATGCAACCAGTGGTTCGTGCTGACCCTGATCAAAGCCAATCAAGCTCTGGACACCGGAAATCTGCTAATCCTATATCACTGTCGTCGGGCAGTCATGGCTCTTTTGTTAAGCCACAGAATCTCTCCCGCAGCAATTCATCATCATCGTCACGGAATACGTCATCATCTTCTTCATTAAGGAATACTTCAAACTCTATGTCTTCTTACTCTTCGTCAAGTTCCTATCCTGTGACGCCAAAATCAGCTAGTAGTCACCCCAGCTCATCTAGCTTGAAATCTGGTGAGTATCAGCTTTTCTTACAGCTTAATGTATGAATGTGTGACCCAATGCAAGTTGGTATATACTTTTAAGTCTGGGTTGCAATTCCCCACACACACAACCCTCCCCCCAGGCTACAGATGTGAGGACTCCAAATTGTTTGCTACTTACAAGTTATATAGTCCTGCCCATACAGTACCTCTATATACCTAAGCTGAATATCTTACCTGGTAAATGTTTTAAAAGTTTATTGTAAATCTGTTCATGTTTCTTATATTTTGTTGTAGAATCCTCTTTAGAGATGTCTGTCGGCCAGATGGCAAGGAGACCAAGTACGTCAGGTGCTACCCAATCAGACTCCCAGAACCAGGAAGTTGGCACTGGAAGTGTCCGTGGGAATGTGGACAGACACAGAATGGATAATACAGACATTAGTGTACAGGTGAATTGTGTGAAAGTAAATCATCCAGTACTCTAGTCAATAAGTCTATGGCAATTTGAGATTGTGTAGACCTCACCAAATTTTCATACGAGTAGACCACAATGATTTATATTTCTAAAATATCAACTTCAAACTGACTCTTTCTCCCTCACTGAAACATACGACAGGAAGGCTACTCAATTTTGATTATGAAAAGTGGTGTAGCATGTGTGAATCCTATATTTTGGTACCCAGTAGTTTTGATACTTGAGAATTGGATGTTTCGGTACTTTTTTGTCAAGGTGAAAAATTCTAAAGAATCCTAAATGTGAAATCATCAATACACAGGACACAAAAAGCAAACAAAGTCGAAACGTTGGTGCAAGTGCCAAACATTGTGTTTAATACCGAAAAAACTGAATGTCCTCTACAAGCACCGAAACATTGTGGTACCAAACCGTCGTGAGACCCATGCTTCACCATATTTTATCATCATGATTGAGAAGCCATTTCGGTCCTACCATCAAGGGATGCCAAGAAGTTTGTTCCATCATGATCTTATCAACATATTCTTCACATTGCTATTGCTTCAATTTTGATGAAATTGACACTGGTGTCTTTCTTTTCCCTTTCTGTTGGGTTTAACCCCCTAATACTAATTAAAATATAACTCAACAATTAGAATTCACATTAGAATTAGAATTTACAATTATAATTCAAAAATTAGTTTAAATATTGTTTGACATCAATATTTACGAAACGTTTTTAACAAAGTTCCCTCCCCGATCCATCTAAGCACTTATATATGTAGTCTGTTGACTATACTTGATATGCCTAGATTCAATTGAACCCATTAAGTCTTGGTAAATTCAGGTAATGAACAAAACTAGAAAAAATAACACTTAAACACTTTATTCGAAATAATTTGGAAAATTTCGTCTATTTCCGGTTGATCAAATTGCATAGACATTAAGTCTATCAAACTGACATTTTGCATATAGACCAGCTGGTTTTCACATAGCCAATGCCTATTGGTCTACCATTACTTTCACACTCTGATACAGTCACCAGTATACAACAAAGGATACAAATACCACTATACACTGTGATAGTCAGGTAAAGTGTATAGATATATACTATTTTACATGTAGGATACTGGGATGATTAATTACATATTCTGGCAATTTCAAAATGGAACCTTTGGCAACAAGGATCTGGGGATTTTTTATATTTCACAAGGTGTACAGTCTACATAGACTATGAGATGTGCAATACTAGTTATACAGACTCAAGAACACAGAGTGTGCTCCCTTGGACTTTATAACAAGTGCATGACATTGTCTTCTGGTAAATATCATTTTGCATTGTGATTATTCATGCTAAATGTAATTTTTTGTTTTATATTTAGTTACAAGAAATAAAGAAAGAGTTATCAAACAAAGATGGAGAAATAAAGATACTACGAGATACCTTACAAAAGAAAGAAGGGGAGATAACTCAGGCCAAAAAGGAAAGAATGCAAACAATAGAACAGCAACGTAGAGAACAAAGTGAACGTGAGAAAAATCTCCAAGTCAGCTTGGACCGCCAAACCACTCAGCTGCAGTTTAAAGAGAGAGATATTGCAGAGCTCCATGAAAGGTGTCGGAGTCTGGAGTCGCGACAACAGCAAAATGAGGGCAGTAACATTGGTGGTAGTCCCAGAAAAGTTGTGGTTCTCCAACACAGTCCAACACCTAACAAAGACAGGTCTCCTGTTGGCAATGTTAACTTTCCAACAAAACGCAGTTTTATGGCTGATGACCGATCTCCTAAAGGGAAATCACGACTGTCGACGGTTCACAAAGAAGATAAGGAAAAGGGTACTAGAGATATTGGTAAGGTACTGACAAACCCTACCCTTATCTATTTGAGAGGTGGCCATGATATGATACGAGGACAGTGTTAATGCTAGCCTTTTAAAAAATGGGTCCCAAGAAGGCAATAACAGTGAAATATAGAGGAATGTAGGGCATTTAAGTTTTGCCTCTGTTTGACATGACATTGGCATCAAAATAACTACCTGACTATTTATCAAAGAGTAAGGATAGCTTGTTATGAAGATATAATATTCAACTGGATGCCATAATATATTCAACTGGATGCCATAATATAATGACAATGATATCAAAAATTATTACATCTTTAATTTCAAATTATCTGTTTGATACGACCTATATAATATGAAAATCCTTACGACCATGCAGAGTGACTTACATGTACTTTGACTTTATTGTGACTTACCTGTACATAGACTTACCTAATTATGACATATATATAATGGGACCTACCTGAATCATGACTTGTCCCCAGGTGTGCATGCACTGTGACTTACCTGTACTTTGACTTAAACTCACCTTGCACAAAGTGCCTGTGAGCTCATGGTATAGTGTGTTGTCTGTCGTCCATCAGCTTTTTAATAAACAACTTCTTCTTAAGCACTGCAGGACGTAGGATCATGATATTTGGCCAGTAGGTACCTGGATCAGAGTGCTATAAACTCTCCTCAAATAAATGGTCTTAATCTACCTGCAAGGTCACATAGGTCAAATAATGTAAAAACATTTAAACAACTTCTTTTAAATTACCAGGAGGCCCAGAGTAATGATACTTGGCCAGAATATACCTGGCATGGACTACTGTAAAATTTCCTCAAATAACTGACCTTGACCTACTTCCGAGGTCACATGATGTGTCAAATGTGTAAAAACTTGAAAAAACACATTCTGAATAACCAAGAGGTTTAGAGTAATGATATTTTGCCATTAGGTTTCTAGGTTTGAGTGCTCCATAGTGCAGCAGGATGGGGCTTAAAAAAGACAATCAGAGAAAATCTTTAAACTTCTCCTGTAGTTCAGATTAAGTGATTTCAATAATTTAATCTAGAACTTTCTTATGCCAAGAAGACTCAATATGTGGAAATATATTTGCAAAATTACTTTAATGAGAACATTTTATTTTGATTGCTTAAATATACAGGTGAGCGATACAGGCCCTCTGGGCATCTCGTTATTATTTATAAATATATATACCACCATAGGTAAATGCACTGTGACTATAAATACACACAATGTGACTTATTTATCTCCAGGTACCTATATACTGTAACTTAATTGAAATGTGACCTATAATTGTATATCTCCAGGTTCCTGTTCTGTGAAAAATTTGTGGTGTGATTTTATACTTAAAATAAGATCTATATATTCCAAGGTACTTGTACTGTGGGAGATCCCCCTACTGTGACCACCTCTGCCATCCCCACTTCAGTCACCAGGTGCTTACGGAGGAGACTGTTTTTGTCCACAGCTGATCACTCTAGAGGTAACCTAATGAGCTTGATGATGTGGCCAAATGCATGTTTTAGGGTTTTTCATAAGTTTCAAATTATCTAAGTGTATGCTAGTTCGTATACATGTACTACTAATTAAATGATAATCTTTTACTATCCATTGCTGTATCTGCTGATTCAATGTCTATAAATAGTACACACAATACAAAAAAATTGGCGTAGACAATATTTCCTCAGGATAGCTGGCACTCATTTGCAGTTTTATCCGGTAAAGCGAATGATTATAGGGCTTGGGGACAAAACAACCTCAACCTATTCTCAAACTTTCAAGTGCATTTAATACAGAATACCTCCATTATATGCAATTCCTTCATAATGGATATAAATTTACAGAGTGTATGATCTTCTATTGATTTGCTTGTATCTCACACAGTGAAGTTACTTGGGATGTAAACATGTTTTTTTCCTGAAGACTTTCCAATTCCGTCAGATGTTTATGATATTTTACAGGGCTGTTAACTGGATCCCAGCTTGTGTCCAGCCTGCTGGAGACATTTCCCTGTGGTGGAGGTGTAGACCAGGGTATTGTAGGACTGTTACACCCACACACAGGCAGCTGTGATCTACAACGCCTCCACTTCGACCGTGATAGCAGTAATAGCATGTTGTCCCCTCTGCCAAACAGACTGAGGTAATACCCTCCCTGGTGTAATGAACTTCCTCACTAACAAACAAACCAAGGTAATATTCTGATGTCATAACCCTCCCCAAATACCAAACAGATTGAAGTTAATTTCCCAGTGTCTTAAACCTCCTCACTTATAAGCAGACTGAAATGATGTTCTAGTATTTCATATTATATCTGTTTTATTTATCTTCAGGCCTTCTGACTCAAAAACCTCCCCCAAACAATTGATTTCTGTGGGATCCTCCGAACATCGCACGTTAGCACTCCAAGGCATACAGACTTTATTACACAACAAGCAATGTGAGGATATTTTCTCTGACAGAGTTAACTCGACCCGCAGGGTATTACCTTTTACCACTGGGGTGTTAATAAGTTTAGTACAGACTAATGCTGCCCCTAATAAAAGTGTGACCAAAGCTCCTGATCAGGCAGACTCATCTGACGACAGGCGTCCCAGTGACCAGGAAATTCCCATTGACCAGGGTGCTGTGTTGCTGCTGCCCTTGCTGGCTGACTATCTGGGACACTACCTGGACCTGTTGAGCTGTGCAGTAGAGGCCAGTCCTCCGAGTCCTTCATCCTCACGTGGCGGCAGCAGCAGCCTGGACAGCTCTGTAGAATCCCTGAGTAGTTCCTTGTCCCTCCTCCTCAGGGACTCCGCCCTCTTCGCCAACAATCTAGAGGCTCTAGCTCTTGCTGCTCTTTCCATCCTACACAAACTTGTGTCTTACTGTCCGAGTGTTCGGGCCATTTTGCTGGAATCACCAGAATCCCTCACCCATGAAAGTGCAAAGGATACTGCAACAGCACAAGTAAGTATGTTTCAGACAAAACCAGCAAAGGTAGGTAAGCTTTTGACTGTGTCTGGATGGGTACATTGATATTAGACTAGATCAGTACAGGTTCAACCACAGGCATTGAAACAGAAATGCTCATAGCACCGTAACTAATATAAACTTGTCAACACAAAAAATCAGATTTGATATAAATCTTAAGCTGAAAGAAACAACAGAGCTAGGTTACAGTATCAGTATTAATACTGCGATACAGGACCAATTCTCACCATTGGTACTTTCACACATAAAGGTACTGATCACTCTAACTTTATGATTGTATTGAAACTGTCACACCTCAGTGACTAAACTGTTGCACATGAGTGACTGGACTGTCACAACTCAGTGACTAAACTGTCACACCTCAGTGACGAAACTGTCACACCTCAGTGACTAGACTGTTACACCTCAGTGACGAAACTGTCATACCTGAGTGACTAGACTGTTACACCTCAGTGACGAAACTGTCACACCTGAGTGTCAAATCATTATGTTACCTCATTCATACATATGAACTTATACATTTTCAGGTAACTGATCAGGATGGGTCTGGAGATAAAAGCAACACCCACGAACCTTGTGTTTCCTCCTCTGGATCATGTTCAAATTCCCAAGGGTCAGACATACACAAATATGTTGAAGATGTCTACATATTGAGAAAAATCTTCAGCCTAGCCAACCCAGGGCAGGAGGTAAGTGGCTTTCTTTCAATTCAGATGTCTGTTTACTGAGAAATGTATGCAGCCTGACTTTATGAGGCATAATGGTAAGTGGCCACATTCATACACTGAGGAATTACTGCAGACCACCTAGCACAAGACTGAGGAAATCTTGAAGACTCCAATCCATGGCAGGGGGGACGTAATTTGTGACACTAATCATTTTAGCCCAATTAGTGATCAATTCATTCATTAGGTGGTTGGCTGATCAACTTGTCTTTTGTCTGTGCTCTGTCGTCCAATTGTCGTCTGTTCGACCATCCTTAAAAAAATCTTAGATTTTGTAAGTCAAAATTTGTTATCACTACTTTTCAAGAAGTGCTTGACAGATTGTACACAAATTTCATATAAAGGTTCCCTTTGGTCCATATTTAGGCTTGTCACTGTGTCTTTTCTGGACTGTTCAGATAAAAAAAAAAAGATGGCCATTAGGCAGCCATTTTGGATTTTGACAGATCAAATTTGTTATTACTAATTCTAAAAACATCTGGAAAAAAACCCAGTCTTACCAGAACTTATGAAGATGGTACATAAATGGTAGGGGCCAAGAACACCCCCCCCCCCCCCCCCCCCCCCCCCCCCCCCCCCCCCCCCCCCCCCCCCCCCCCCCCCCCCCCCCCCCCCCCCCCCCCCCCCCCCCCCCCCCCCCCCCCCCCCCCCCCCCCCCCCCCCCCCCCCCCCNTATCTCTGGTATATATATATACAATGTATAGTTTGCAGACTGACCAAACAGGGCAGGAGCTTGACATAAGTCATTACTCCTATAAACTTTAGAAAGTCTGGAGACTGACCAACTGAGATCAGGTGGTGAGCAGTCACTATCTTATACTGGTAAAAGTCTGCAGACTAACAAACTGAGATCAAGTGATGAGCAGTCACTATCTTATACTGGTAAAAGTCTGCAGACTGACCAACTGAGATCAGGTGGTGAGTAGTCACTATCTTATACTGGTAAAAGTCTGCAGACTAACAAACTGAGATCAGGAGGTAAGTAGTCACTATCTTATACTGGTAAAAGTCTGCAGACTGACCAACTGAGATCAGGTGGTGAGTAGTCACTATCTTATACTGGTAAAAGTCTGCAGACTGACTAACTGAGATCAGGATGTAAGTAGTCACTATTTTTTTTACTGGTAAAAGTCTGCAGACTGACCAACTGAGATCAGGTAGTGAACAGTCACTATCTTATACTGGTAAAAGTCTGCAGACTGACTAACAGAGATCAGGCGGTGAGCAGTAACTATCTTATACTGCTAAAAAACTGCAGACTGACCAACTGCGATCAGGTGGTGAGCAGTAACTATCTTATACTGGTAAAAGCCTGCAGACTGACCAACTGCGATCAGGTGGTGAGCAGTAACTATCTTATACTGGAAAAAGTCTGCAGACTGACTAACTGAGATCAGGAGGTAAGTAGTCACTATCTTATCCTGGTAAAAGTCTGCAGACTGACCAACTGAGATCAGGTGGTGAGCAATAACTATCTTATACTGCTAAAAGACTGCAGACTGACCAACTGAGATGAGGTGGTAAGCAGTCACTATCTTATACTGGTAAAAGTCTGCAGACTGACCAACTGAGAGCAGGTGGTGAGCAATAACTATCTTATACTGCTAAAAGTCTGCAGACTGACCAACTGAGATGAGGTGGTAAGCAGTCACTATCTTATACTGGTAAAAGTCTGCAGACTGACCCACTGAGATCAGGTGGTAAGCAGTCACTATCTTATACTGGTAAAAGTCTGCAGACTGACCAACTGAGATCAGGTGGTGAGCAATAACTATCTTATACTGGTAAAAGTATGCAGACTGACCAACTGTGACCTAGCTATAGAGTAAAGTGGAAATTGAAAATAGACTATTGGTGTTGTAACAATTGTAACACAAGCTTCTATGAAATGACAAATATGATTATTTTAAGATATGATTAATATTTTTACTGATCCATTGTATATAGATGAAATATTTAAGATGAAAATAGCAAAAGAGTGTATCATTAGCCTTGGGTTTTGAAATGTATTTCTATTAAATGCTTTTATGTGTCTCGGGCAAGATTTACCAGGTAATTATTAAATCTGTAAATAATTTTTATCCTTCGGTATTTAAGGCACACAGATACAGCGTCCACGTGGTAGAACGAGCCTTAGATATTCTAACAGTGCTAGCCACACACCTGGTGGAGGACCAGGTCCCACAGTAAGTTTTGTTATTTAAACTATCACTTAGAAATCTATATACAGTACTGGTTATTGGTATATAGCTTACATGGAAAATAAGTGACTATAATTAACATTTAAAACTTCCAACTTGTCTGTCAGAGTTGAAAAACTATCATTCCTCGTTGGTAATATCATAATGGTTTAGGAATATACTGAGGGAACTAGATGTTCGCACTTCCTCAGCTGTAATCGGTCTTCTGAGTTCTGTCCTAAATTAAATGACCACCTGAGATGTATCTTTTCACTTTGAGTTATCAAATAATATAAGCAGGTGCTCTTGGGATGTCAGAGCATCACAAAAATGACGTACAACAAATGTACAAATCTCTGTTATGACCTCTTACCTCAATTGTTGAATCATCTCCAATGCTGATATATCTGGAGTTTAATTCAAAATTTAGTGGGAAGGTACATCTGGGGATGTCAAAGTGTTGCATACAAAATAAATAGGTCAACGTAAACTGTATTTCACCTGTAACTCTAGTGAATAAAACCTATTGTCTCGGGTCATAAGGTCACTTTAACAATCATTGCAAATCTTTACTACATATCGTAAAAGTTTGCTGCGGTTTAAATTTTGCCCTTCTTGTCCTTGGTAATGATGGCTAGTAAATATCAGCACATAGAAAAGGCATACATAGCAGATTCTATTGTAAATGTGAATTTAACATTTGTACATTTATGTATTATATTTTATTTTCTGTTGCAGATTACTGCCAGTTCTTCATAACAGTGTGTTAGCTAATTGTTTAGATTGTGAAAATGATCGGTCGGTGGTAGTGCGAGGATTAACATTGCTAACTGCACTGGTCAAGTTTAACTCCTTTGTGTCGAGCCTGTATGTGGGGCCTGATGGCTGTCTGCTGTGTCTTTTATACAATGTATGTAGTGGGCCTATGGATAAGGTCTCTACAGAATATTGTCTGCAGGCTAGTTCACAGGTGAGCATGTTTTATTCTGTAGTTTTAATTATGTCCCCCCTTCAAAGGAAAAGAAGAAATAAATGTATACAGACATGTCCACAGTTTATATATATATATATCAGTTATGATTCATGAATATTTTTATGAACTAGTCATAATATAGAGATATCAGGTAATTGTTTTTCGAACATTTTATGTAAAGAATTTTTAAATGTGTTAATAAATATGTTCATGTTTCCAGTTCTTCCATTGTCTTAACAACATCATCAGTGTTCACAAAGGAGGTGCAGTTCTTCTTCTAAAGAGTGATTGTCGGTGCAGTGTACAGGTCAGTGTAGTGTTTGAACATTCGCAGTCTGTCACCGGTGAAATCAATGTTCGCACCATGTTAATTTCAGCCTCCTCAATGTAATAGCTATAATAGGTTTCGCTCGTTGTCATGATATATTCTTTATTCCCCCTTATTGCAGAGGAGGGGGGGGGGGTAAAGTGTGGCGAACTTTTCCCCGTATATAGTATGAACGTATGTAAAAGTTCGGTCATTGATTTGCTTGACAGGTAATAAGGACAGTTGTTGTGGTACTGCGCCGTCTCCTTGTGTTGTATGAGGAGGGAGAGAAAGAGGGATGTGAGGGTCAGGACAATGTGCTGGTACTACTGAGACAAGGACTGCTACTACTACACTCACTGTACCAGAGGGATGAGCACTTTGTCGACCACCACTACCTTGTGGAACACCAGTATGTGCGGCTCATCATAGGACTCACCAATGTCTTCAAACATCTCACTGCCAACCATTCCCCTGAATGTGAGTAGTTCAGAGTATTAACTGTCTTGTGTTACACTAATTTCAGGCATATTTTCATTTTTTTAGGGTGTAACCTCAAAACTATTTTAGCTCTCCTATTCGAAGAATAGGGTTGAGTTTAAGTTTTTAGGCAAGTTTTTTTGTGCAGTGTAGAATCAGTCACCACCATCAATACGCTGTTGACTATTTCACGTTGGCTGGTAATCTTTTCTTACATGTTAAGGTACAGCAAAACATTGTTATATTGCCATCATTTTTCAAAGAATTGTTGGCATTATAAAGGGGTTTGGCGATTAATTGAGGGAAACGTATAAGGAATTAAGAGAATTAAGGGACCTGAAAATATGTTGGCGGTAAGTGAGGTGGCAAATGAAATGACAGGCATTATATCAAGGTTTTGCTGTACAATTGTTTCTATTAATATTTGCTATCTTACATCTTATATCACCAATCGGCGAGCAATGCTGTTCTCCAACAGCTCTTGTTAATAAAAGTAGGTCAAAGATATCAAATACAGATGACATTGACCCAATTTACACCACAGGTCTCTCAAATGCTAGACAGGGTGGCATGATACTATTTCATTTATACCCTATATTCATTTTTCATAAGTGAAAAAAAAACATATCAAAAAATTAATTTGTTTTTTTCTCTTTTTTTCTTCAGTAAGTGCCTTAGGAGAATTGTGGGACTTTGATGAAGATTATAATGAATTATCCCAGGAAAGTGAAGGTGATGAGGACGATATTCAACAGATGGACATATCCTGACACTCCATCACATATTACTGTGTATGATTGTATCACTATAAAAGTTGTATCAACAAATTGAGACAAATCCTGACACACCATCACATGTCAACAAAGGGAGACAAATCCTGACACACCATCACATGTCAACACACAGAGACAAATTCTGATGCATTCTCACACAATTCACCATCATCAGAGAGATAAAGCCCTTCAACAGAAACAGACTTACCTGGTATACAACACCACACGAACAAGCCCTCAAAGAGACGGATCAATATCTATATCTGTTTCAATCTCATTTTCAAATATTTATGTCAAGTTTTGTGCATATTAAAAGAGTGTTATTTTTATAACTGTGTAAAAGGAACATTAATACTGCTAAACTGCTTATAGCAAGTGTTAAAATATATATGAAATTGTGAGATTTATTTTTCTGACACTCTTAACAAATATGTACAAAAAAAACACTTAGTAATCTACGTTATATCTAATAATACTTGCTTTATTTATTAATCTGTAAGTCTGTGTGCTTCAGGTCTTTCTGTACATGGAGTTATTTTAGGAGTGAGGGTAAATTAAAATTCTGCATAAATAGGCAAAACCATAGATATATGGTCAACTGATGTTTCAAATTGCCTGGATATATTCCACAAGGGCTTTAGCTTGATTGAAATATATTCATTGGTGTAGTACATGAGTGCAATCTGAGGCATGAGATAAACGATTACAATATTGGTTATATTACATACTTACAATTGTTTTTGACATGAATACTATATTTTCTGCAAAACACTACTCCTCATCACCATGTGTAAATGTTCAATTTGGTCGTGGAAGTCTTGAACTAAACCACCATGGCAGACAAAATGATGTTGCGGGTGAAATAATAGACATCACATTTCCATATAAACGTAAATTAAATTCAGAACCATTATTGTTTCATTTCATTGATTTGATCAGTGGATAACAGCTATTGAGTTCCAGCTAGAAAAAGGCTGATCTGGCTACTGTAGGGTAATACAATATCATGTATGATTACTGTGTTAAATACAGGACCTTCAGTTGCATGGCCTGCAAACTTGCTGTATCACTGCAGTAAGATTCACGTGTATTAAAAGTGATTCCGTTTATACTGCAACACATTTTTACTGCAGTATAATATGTTTGTGTGATATGAGAGGAACTACAGAAATTGTTAAATTTTTGCATCGTAAAGATTTGATAATAATTTCAAGTCTGAATATGTGCTGTTAAGATTAATTGCATAAACTAATCATGAAAATGAATTTAATTTAATTCTGTTATGTTTTATTAAATGTAAATTAAATTCATTTGAATAATGTAATGTTTTAATACATGTATATTGAATAAAGATACAATTTACTGTAGGTGTTTTTCATAATATTTTATCATGATAAACAAAATTATAAAAATCAAATCTTTGTATCGTTCTGCTTCATTGATGTGTTGCATCCACAGGAACAAACCAAAGATCACAGTTTGATCAGAAATGGCCATGAATATGCACGATACTCAATACATGCTGGCAAACATTAGCAGAATCCTCCCTCCCCCTCCTCCCCCCACCCCCTTCCAATATCATAAAGACATCTCGCCTGTGATATTAATCAGATGCCTATAATCAAAACCTGGTTTGTCACTTGGGTGAGTGACATTCTGCCTAATCGATAGATATCATGGCAAGAGAGTAAAACAGATACATACCGTAGTATGTACCCTTCAAAATAGCGAAGATCATTGCCTATTGATGAGGTTGAACCAGACCATATTCACACGTTGACCAATATCATCATATAGAAACTTTTTTCGAGACTTGAGTACATTGTGACGAGGAAGGCTCAGATGGGATTAAATGAATCATATGAGGAAAATTGAATGTGCAAGACATCCTAATTATAGCTGTCTCTCAGGAAGACTGCTAAGATTTACATCAAGTTCCTATACAAACAACCAATGCCCTCTTAATTTCACCTAGGGTCATATCGATGCAGTTTTGGGGACAGAATAAGACATAATAATAATTATAAAGTTGTATTTCTATGGTCTTGTGAGTTGACTAACGCATTTTGCTTTATAGCAGACATTGAACAATAAAGCAGTTTCCAGACATGTGATGACATAACCTAGACCAATATCAAACCCAACTGGATTACAGTGAGGCTAAGACCAGTACAAGATATCTTCATACCTGAGCAACCCAAAGCATGTAATTGATCTATCACAAAAAAGTCATGAACACATACCAGTGGATTTTTTACAACATTTTTCATATAATTGATATTCCATTAACTTTAAGAATTTTAGAAAATACTGCTCTTTTAACTTGTAAATATATTATATAGTGCCAAATAATAGTGAAACATCATCATGAAAGATTTGATAAACACTACTGGAAAGGTAATAGCATACAATGTATTTAATTCATTCACCCCTGAAGACACATTTGAACTCTTCGATCCAATTCAAAGGTTGGAATAGTTCATTATAAAATTTCAGAGGTGAATGAGTCAACATTTAATCCTGAGATAGTTTAAATAATCTTATCATATTCCGTGGTGGATTTATATTGACATTTTTATTGCCAAAGTTCTAAACAGCAATTAAAACAACGAAAATTAAAATGACAGAATTTGTAGTGCTTTATTTGTGTCTTCCACTGCTAAATAACAGCAGGGCTGGAGTACCATGGCCTTTGTGGCTATCAAACAGCTATCTGTGATAGGGCTTATGAAAATTTGAGACATTGCATCCCTTGGTGAACTATGTTATCAATGATTTAATTGATATGCCAGCCCCTCTTCCATGAAAATCATTATATTCTCTCTGTACTCACACACCTTGGCACCAACAGGTAGATCTGAGAAATGGAGTTTAGGAATCTACATTATCCACAGAAAGACAGTTGGAAATTGTAGTGATTTTGGTGCTAAATATAGGCAGAATATCAGACTCTACATTTTAAAACTACAGCTTCTGTGAACGGATATATAACCTGAATAGTTAGATCTAGAGCATCCTTGTGAAAACTGACTCAATTAGGTATAAACAGTGGTTTCCTTGGGGTAGAGGGGCGGGTGCCCAATAGGGGGAAATAGAGGTAAATCTTTAAATCTTCTGTATGAATGGAGCATCATTGGGTAAAGCAGTCTCAATTTTGTATAAACAGAGGTAGCCCCCCCCCCCCCCCCCCCCCCCCTCAGGAGAAGAGGGGTGGGGTTAATTGGGGCAACAAAAGAGAAGAAGAAAAAAGAAAAAGAAACACTTTTCTTTTCGTACAGATGTAACCCTGCCCCCCAAATGGCAGAAGGATGGAGCCCAATGGTAGAAGTTATATTTCTGGTTGAGATCCCAACCTTAAATCCATATATACCCTCACTCAAAAAATAAGTAGAGAATTACATTAAAGCTGCCAGAATTTGATCTGGGGTGTGGTTCCACCCCAGGAGTGGGTTCTGGGTCAAAGTCTGGAAACGGTTGGGATCCCAACGTACCCTATTACCATTAACACAATTGCTAGTCATGAAGAGACATTGACGTACATGCTACCAGGAATTGTTCAGGGGTCCAGCCCCACCCCTGATGACTAACTATCTGGGTCATATCATGGAAATGTTTGAGATCACCATTCCATAACCATATACCGGGTATACAATCGCTAGACATGAAACGACCAGACAGTGCCACAATGACAGGCACAACAGGGACTATTCCTATCCTTGCGATCTTATTTGTAATACAATTTTAATCGGGTTGGTCAGGTGGCACAGTGGATAGAGCACTTGCTGGTTAATCCTCCAATATTAAGACCCCGCACGCTAACTTCTGGACCAACAAGACTGATTAATGTAAGTTGAAATAACTTGATTCATAATTGAAATAAAACATATTTATATTATTTAATGAGAATATTTAGACATGCTGTGAGATACAGGCACTTGTTCTTTTAAGTTTCTTAAAGCATGTTGGTTTTCTTTTCAGAAAAAAATATCAAAGCTATAGTCACACCGATTTTTTCCCCGATGCTTAGTTATTTTTTTTTGTCAGTGTTACGGGAATAAAGCAGGAACGAACGATAACTCGGTAGGCCATCGGCTCAATTAAAGGGAGTACAAGGACCGTAACTCTGCGTGGAGATTATTCGTGATCATCGGCTTTGAAAAGCATTGGGCCTACATGGAAGCTCTTCTCTTCTCCGAAGTTCAGGTTAAACACCCTTCCCCAATACAACGTATAGGTCTTTGGTACCACTAATTTACTATAACGTAAAGTGTGTTAAACTACATAAAATAATTGTGTATAGTGCAAGCGCGGTAGCACGATTTACCCAAAAAGACCCCAAAACACCCAAAAAGACCCCAAAACACCCAAAAAGACCCAAAAAACCCACAAAAAACCCCACAAAACACCCCAAAACACAAAAAAAAAAACCACAAACAAATGAAAAATGTTCAGATATTTTTATGTCTGCTTCCTGTCATTATGTAACATAATGATGTTTCCCGTTAATTGAATAGTTATAGCGACGCGAGTAATATTAACAATATACGTATTTGAGTTACTTCCCCTGCAACAAGTTTACCGTTTGCCAATTCACAAAAGTTTTATCGATAAATGGTATTTATTCTCACTCTTTCCACATTATTTGACATAGGTAGCCTATGTTTATTTTGTATTTTTGACAAGTGCTTTGTTCTTAAGAGGATACTGTTTGAAGTGTTAAATTCGTACTTTTTTTAACAGTCTGATTATTTCAATCTATTTTGCGTTTTTCGAGTGAATCATTTGGGTGCTTTTTTTTTAAAAGTTATTGGCCCTAAAAAGGGCCGTTTTATGATACGTATTTCCTCTTAATGCTTCTGTGTGGAGGCGATGATTCTTCGGATTCTGGACATATACTTCTTTATTCCTGTATTAACGGTGATCAGTTCACTGGTTTGAAGATGGACCAGGTCTTGTAGATAGTCAGTCGGGTACTTAATGTCTTTGAACTGTACGAAGTGCTTTCCAAATTTCTTGTGGAGAAGTTGGTTTATACGTATCCGTTGACATTCATACGCCTCTTTTGTCAGACCAGGAACTTTACTGAAGTTTCCCCTTGTGATGATTTCGGCCACCCATACCTTCTTCATTCCAGCATTATTGAATGTAAAAACCAACTCGACAATTCTTTCAAAAATCTCCCTTGGTGTAGATGTGGGTGAGATGTCATTACCTCCGACGTGGAGGAATGCAAATTCTGCACCTGTTGCTATGGCTTGCCTAACAAATCGCTGGTCCATCCTGTCTGTCCTCAAACCACCCCTGCCAAAGAATACAGTATTCACGCCAGAAATACATAGGTCTCCATCACAATGGCGCCGAAGTCTTTCAATGTAGCTGCTACCATATAGAATCAAAGTAGGCATGGTTGTTTGATTGTAATTATTACTTTTGTTTTTAAAAAAAA